AGGATCTGGCAAACAATTTTGTACAGCTCTTGCAATGCCTGTCTGAGTGTTAAAAAAAAAGTTTCTGTAGGGCATTCTGTATACCTCCACCTGTACGTAAGGGTTAAGCAAATGGAAAATCCTGTTCTTTCCTAAACAGGACGGTTCCCTGCTGGTTCACACAAACTACCCCAAAGGGAGCCCTGGGGAAAGGGAGCAGCGCTCCTTCCCCCTGCTCAGGCATGCACAGGCAGGTGCATTCTGTATCCTGTTGTGATTTTCTAGTGGGTTTAATGCACCTCTGTGTCTCCCTGCAGTTGGATTTGTTCCTCTCAAGCACAGATCTGACTTGCGTAATTTTGCAACCATTAAGTACAACATTCCTACACATCCAATCCTGTTTCCTCAGAAGTCAGTGGGAGCAGAACATAGCTTTACTAATTACTTTCTTGTTTTGTCTGGCAATGGGTTTCTTGTACTATGTTGAGTTATGTGGAGAGAATGCCTCTTGTTGCTCAACCCCGGATCCCTGAAGTTGGCATAGGTGTCTGTGTTAGGTCATCTCACCTAAACTCACGCACATACAATATAGAAATCTACATATGAGCCAGTTTGCCCCATTCAGTCAAAGTACAAATACAGCCTCTTCAATGGATGATCTCAAGCTTTAAATTAGGCTCTCCTCAGGTATTTTCTGTGCATACACATGCTATGTTCTCGCTAAATATGTTCTTTCCTGCTTACTCATGGCTTACATGCTTAAAGTCTATTCAAACATTAACTTTACTCTTCTCTCTAAATACTGTGGTTATTCACTTACACATCTGGAATGGATTTAAGCAAAGATTAGTCTGCTTTAGTCCTTAGACTACGATGTAATTCACAACATATTAGGTTGTATACATTTACGCAGATCATTTTTAATCAGATGCACAGCATGCTGTTCATATCCTTTTACCTTTTTATTATTACTTCTGATACTGTACTTCATCAAACTCAATTAGACCTGCCTAGTTTCATCACTAGAAATGGTTTTCTTCAAGTATGGAATGGGGCTGTGATACGCTGCTTCATATCTAAGAGATATTCAACAGATATAACAATTCATATTCCCATTATTTTATGACTGTCACACAAAGTAATTTATTTCCTCCCCTCAATCATATAAATTGTACCATATTCCAGCCTCCTGCAGCCTACTCCAATTGCTTCCAGTCTCTCCTCTATCGCTTGCCACTCTTTTCTTTAAATTTTACTTCTCTGTCCTCTTCAGTTTGGCACACACTAATTTCCTCTCCTCCATCGGATTCAAGCAGGTGGATTATATTCAGAGCTCACATAAACAACCAATCTTATTAGACAGTAGGTACATTCCCTGACTATTCTCCTAATCAGTTCACATTTACCTCTCTAAGTGCTTGAAAAATAAATAAGCAGATGGTGAAGTCAGTTAATTTTCCACAAGTGTTGTGGCAGAAAATGAATCTTCAGGAAATGTTTCAGATGGCAATTTTTTAACTCAAAATCAACTGCTTGCCTTCACTTATACTTTTTACCTTTTCTAGTACGCTACGGAGGTATAAACTATACATGATACAGAAGCAATGGCCCTTTGACATGTCCAGTGCTGCTGTCTGACATGACAACATAAACCATCTGGCTCTCACAGACGTAGTGTGCAGGGGTGTGGGGGTTAATATTGTATCCCCCCCATTCATGGTGTCTCTAATAGCTACTGTCAATCAAGCACCCTCCTCTTCCCCAGCTCTGGGAGGAGGTGCACATTTGAAATTCCAGGCTAGATGGTATAGGAAAGGAAGGAGCAGGCTCTAGCTGAGAGACAGAGACAGGCCAGATTGTTTTCCATTGCAAACCTAATAAATTCATTTATTCATCTGATTTTCACCTTTGCAAGGGATAGAACCCAGGCTGACTGTCAGATTTGTCAAAGCCTGAGAAGAAGTGGATACTGCTGCCTCCTGCCCGCCCTGCTTTCTCTCTGCATGGGTAGACTCGGGCTGAGAAGGCAGTGACCCCTCCTGCATCCTTCTGTACAGAGGATACAGAAACTTGTGCCACTGGAAGGGCAGGTGAAGATGATCTCATTCATAGCTTAAGTATGAAAAGGAAATCAAAAGCTAACAGCGTTCGAGGCAGTTCAGATAAACATACTCCCGACTTCCCTGGTCTGCGAAGATGAAACCAAGGGTCATGAGAATGATTCAGAACAGGGGCACTTACAAACTTACTGCATAAATGACCAAAAAACCCAACAATTTAGATTTTGTTTATAGTTAGGGACTGCTAAAAAAGAAGCTAAAACAAACATCCTCTTTCAGCTCCAGGGCCAAACACATCATTGACTCAAACCTTTCAAAATCCAGAATGTTAAACCAAGGTTGGATCTGGCCTCTCATCTCTGATCATCCTTTCTATAAATCCTTGATAAAGTGTGTGTTAGTTTTATGGCACAGTCATAAAACAGCCAAACGTAGAAGTAAATGACCTCATACCAGCTATCTCTCTGCAGATAGATTCACTTGGCAGATAGCCAAGAATTGATTGACACACATCTTACGGAACTAGAGTTAATTAATATGTCTACCAATTCCCAAATGGATCTCAGGAAGCAGAGAATCTGTTTAATGTAGTAAGCAATGACATACTGTGTGTGGTCAAGAGACAATCACTAATTGCCAAGAATGCATTCTGGAATAAAGCATTAAAGGATACGAAAAAACCTTTCTACTTTGCAGCTCCTGTATCTGTTCAAAACCTTATACTTAGAACATTTTAAAGACTCATGTTTCAAATATCAAAAGACATTTTTATAGGGAAAAATGGTTCCCAGACTATAAAGTCAACACTCAAAAGATCTGTTAATTTTTCTACAAGAAGAAATTCTGATTTTTAAATAACAGAGTCCTCATTCATGTAACAACGATGTCATTATTTTCAGGGAAATCTGCAAACCTAAATTGCAAAACCATAAGGTAACTTGGAAAAGCTGTTCTTCAAAGATCACAGAAGCTACAAGTAATACAATTATGGATTCACCAGTAAAATATATCGATAAATTAATGACTGCTGAAAACACATTAAGAGTCTAGTTACTGAACTGAAACACTCCATCGAGCAATACTCCGGTAAGCCAGACTGAAAACAAAATAAAGTGGTCTAATTTATATCACATACTCATCTTAACAGGAAAATAAAAGATTGGCTTTTCTGGAGAGAAAAAGTATTGAAATGGAGCACAGAGACATTCTAGTCAAATTTTCAGCCAGAAAAAACAGCATAGTCCCATTGCTTCTGTGAGTGGGATGTTTTTCACCAAAGACCATGCCTATCTATTTAGTTACGATGATCACTGACAAAATGGTACAAGAGCTACTGGAAGACTTCTGCAATAGCAAGTAAAAATCAGTAAGCTACAGATTGAAAAAAATGAGGGAAAAGAGAGAGGAAAAGTGACTTATTTTTTACTAAAAAGTAAGGAAACAAAACCTAGGTCACATATGAAAAACCGTCAGTGTGTTAGGACAAATCTGAGAAGTGGGATTTATGAACATGTGACACTATTTTAATTCCCAGCTGGGAGAAAGTTGCTGTGGTGTCAGACTATACTGACTGGTAGGAGACTAAAGAACAGAGTTGGCCCAAGAATAAACACAGAGGCTGAACTACCTTTCTTACAGCTGGTATCTCTCCTGACAAAAAAAAAAAAAAAGTGTGCTTTTGACTACATGAATCAGGTAGAATGGGCTTACTCATATTTATTTAAGCCCCTGGGGGAAAAGGTGCTGTGTAGGGGAGAAAAGTACAGATTCTGCTGTGATTTATCAATCAACACATCAGCACCTGATTCAGGAGCAGGTCTCACCAGATCCACTCACAGAGTCACAGAAACTAGTGAAAGTGCCTTTTGGCAGGAAGAGATCACGGCTAAATACCAATAAAGATTAAAAAGAGGAAAAAGAAAAATATTGTTTTAAGATAGTTTACCTCAGGATGACTTCCAACTTCAATATAGGTGCAGACTGGATGAAAAGCCCCTGTTCCGCAAGCATACAAGTGCGTTTGGTTGTAAACCTTAAGCACCTTGATGAAATTAGCACATTCTCTCTGCAAAGAAAAGGGGGAAAAAAATGTATCCACAGAGTTAATTCAGTGATTATGACTAATGGGAGCTCTTCTATGTTAGGCATGTATGGCTGAATGAACAGATTTTAAAAGTGTGATCATTTCATGCTGCTTAGAAGCTTGTTTATTGCTTGTTTAAGCATTTAATAAATAGCCTCATTTAGGTTCTCATTTAAATATCTTTGGTTGCCATTTAATAAAGCATCCACCCCTGAAGAAAAGATCACACAAAAAAATTTCCTAATTTTTGTCTCAGACATGCTTCATCTTTGTAATTTACGCTATTGTCATGTTTGTAAGACAAAACCCATTTATAGAAATGTGTCAGAATGAAATAATGAAGAAAAATGGACCAACTGTTTGCTTATATTCAATTAAGCAACAATTAGAAGAAAGATGGGCCAGATGGAAGTAGTTGATGAAAAACAAATCATTGATATAACATTTCAAACAACAATCTGAATGCTGCCTCACCTCCATTGTCTGTGATTAGGGCCCAGTTTTACAAAGATGAATACATATGCTAAATTTTAACGCAATTATTGACAGCCCTTAGAATGTAAGCTTGGACTTTATATTTTCTACCTAAGTAAACTATCCATCATGAGTAATTCTAGTTCTCAGCAATTAAAAACTTAATAGCAACTTAAACAGTCCCTAGTACAAACATTATCTGTTATTTGTTAACAAAAATATCATTATTAATACCTAATATTATTAAAATGGAAATGTCTAACCTGATAGTCAAGATGCCAACTTTTTTATGTTTATTTAATATTTTTATTTCAATCAGGTCTAACAATGAAAAGAAACATGTCAATGCCCGTGAATCAGTCTACTGACACAATTACAAATAATGATTTAAATAGGAGAAAAATAAGAACATCGTAATAAAACAACTGTTTCTAGTAAAGTTTGTGTTTAAAATGAAGGAAACTTCTCTATGCATATTTGATGACGTTTTTGGTACAGCACTCACCTGTACAAGTGGATCAAGGCCCATGGCAAAACCACCTGAACTACCACCGCCACAGAAATCTCATTGATTGGCATGATCCGTCTCTCTAACTTGCTCACTAATTAAACCAGATACTCTCAAACACAAAATAATGGCTCTGCCAGGAAAATGCATGTGCAATTTGAGGCATGCCTTAGGCCACCACAGGGAAAAGCAATGAACCTACACAGATAAAATACTGATTCCCTGCCTTACACAAAGGACTGTACTGAAATGACATTGCTCTTCCAATTTTATTGTTTATTTGCATAACAGATAATGGCAATGTATTAAAAAGAGCACCCAGAGAAAAGCACACAGAATCTTACTACTTCCTTGGTTTACTGCTGATAACTTATCTTTCTAACTGAGGTGGAAGAAAAAACATAGAGATAGTTAAGGTAATCCAACAGGAAATTGAAAGAAATAGAGATGGATGTTACTCGGGGTCTCTCTTAATTCTTTCCATTCTGACCTTTCTTAATAAAAACACACACAATTTCTGGTGCATACGTATTCTTCCTCCCACACATGTATAAACATGAACATACATTTATTATATGTATATGTATCCACAGACTACTTTCCACTGTCACAGTGGTAGAGTACTAAGCATATACTAACTACTAAGCAAAAACCTGGCATAAATCATCAAAATTACAGTGAATGTTTCAATATTTTTCTTAATGCTGTTGTCCTTTGTTCCATTTAATAAAAGAAATATGGAAAAACCATGAAAGTGTGTTAATAATGCAATGCCTGCAAGAGAAAAAATAGGCAAATACTACAAATTCATGTAACATTCAAAATTAACAAAATTAAAATAGATCCTTTCTTAAATTTTGATATTCTGTGTTTCAGATGGAGCATCTGACTTTGACCCTACATAATTGAAAACTGATCAATGATTTGTGCATTTTTAAATAATTCAGAATTTTCTCACTTAGAGCTGTATCTGGCCAAATTTAATCACACCACTATTTCACTAGGACTGTGTTTTACCTTGTTTGGTTTGATGTATCATAATTTACAAAATGTCTTTGTGGTCTACTATGCTTTATTAAAGCTTTCAAAAATTGCCTACCTAAAGAACACGGAACGTTAGAGGCCAGTGGACACACACCTTTGCAAAATGCTGTGAGTACATGGGCTGGACCCACAGCCAGTGTGAATCAAACAGATTGTGCTGATTTCAGAGGAGCTATTCTGATTTACAGCAACACATCACCTGTGACTCTATATGCACTTACTAAATACTATTCAGCTGCTTATCTATAACATACAGCAAGAAGGTATTAGATACCTAATACTTTAAAGGTGAGATGGAAAACCTTGCTTAGTTTAGGGGCAGAATCTTCTTTGATTTCTATGGATGGAAATTAAGAAAAATTCTATTATCAGCTTCGCTGAATTATTCCAGATTAGCCTGCGGGAGGATTAACTCTATCATAGCCATACTTGTGTTTCAAGTGTTCAGGATTGATAGCAGTGTAAATGTGTTAATATCAATAAAGTTACTCCAGATTTATAACATGTTTCTAAAAGCAGATTTGACTTATTCATCCCTGCTTTTAAGCTCCCCTTAATTCCTTGTACAACATGTTTTTTAACATAGATGTCTGAGAAATACACAACCTAGTTAAACAATGGGGAAGGTAAATACCTACAGCAATAAACCTTTGACTATGACAAATAAATTTATATAACATTTAAAGTTCCTAGTCCAGTTCAGACTGCTCTTATGGCTTCCCTGTGTTTTATAGCTGCATAAAGGACCCATTAAGGTCTATTCAGTAAATTCTCATACACCTCCCTAACAGATTAGGTTTCTTTATATATTTTACATGGTTGTAAAAAAATAAATAAAGATGGGTATTAAAGCACAATAAATGACATCAAAGTAAAGTTACAGTTCTGATTTAAGCCCTTGTCAACTCAGGAAGTTCAAAGTGAAGTTTCTGCCCTGCCTGGGAGGCGGTGCTATTCTCCCTGGGACAATAGCAAGAGGCGCATTCATTTCAATGGCAGAGTAATCGGATGCCTTCCTTTGTCTAACTGTGCTCAAGTACAGCTGCACAGGTACAGTGTCATGTGTGGAAACGCTGTATCTGTGTGTTTGATATTCTGAACTTGGCAAGAGTTTGCCTTGTGATGGTGAATATTAGGTTTTCCTGGTTCATGCTTTTTTATGCGAAAAATCTTCCTATAAACCTGTGATACACCAACTTTAACAGCTTTCAATTACTTGCTCAGACTCTAAATCTCAGCATACATGCATGATGAAGAAGATATTCTCATCAGGGAAAGTGTGTGTGCACTGAATGCAATTCGGGACTGCTACTACATGAGACTTGGGTGCCTGACTTCCATTTTCAGTCTCTGTTTCCCCATTCCTCGTGGCAAGGTTCCTACAATGGCATTCAAGCACTGCCAGTTGTGAAACCTGGCAGACAGCTCTGCTGGTCCCGACACCGGTGGCTACGTCAACTTGACTACAAAGCAACTCCCCGACCCCCTTGGCTGGAGGCCTGGAATGATTTGGGTGTCTCCAGCTGGGCTTGTCCCACTTGGCAGCAGCATCTCCCCTTGCCAGACCCCCAGGCCAGCGCTATATTGTCAGTGCGAAGGTCTGAGCCAGCAGAATGAGGCATTTCACTACATGATCTCAGAGTGTAAGTCACTGGAAAGGAGACAAAGACAACAAAAGAAATGTAGTATCTCTGTAAAATACAGCAGATGGGAGAAAATATCCACTGGAGGAAGGGGAAGTAACCCAGAGCCAGAAGATGTAAGGAACAAATTGTCAGGGAATTTAAACACTCTGTCTGTGTGTGAATTCAGCCCCCAGTACCTTTGTACCCATTTTCACTTTCCCCAGGAAAGGGATGTTGTTTAAAGGGAACATATTCTGGACATATCCATATCCTTTCAAAATTGTTCTTCATCAAGTAAAACAGCCAAAGGAAGAAAATTAGACTTTGAAAAATTATTTTCTAGATGGAAATCAGGTTTTTTTTCATATGTGAAAGCAGAATGGTGTGGTGTGGGAGCTTAAAATACTTTTAGCCTAATAATGTGAATGACAATGAATGCAAAGCTCTCTGTAGGCAGGAAAGTATTACTTGGATGGGTTATGAAAATAAATCTTAAAGAAGAGGGGCACTGGAATCACCATTGTGAATCATTATAAATTCTTCCACCTAATAATCCTATCTGTTATAATGGGCAGCTTAACATTGGGAAATTTTTCTTGTCCATATAAAGCTAAACACTGGTTTATGCCCTAAAGCCTGAGTTTACACATACATACATCCAGCAGAAAGCATAAGTCATTGCACGTGGTACAGAATGATTGAGGTAGATATTCAAAGAGAAAATTAGGTATATCATGTGGGAGTTACTGCAGTCCTCAAAACCCCCGTTCATTTATCTTGCCTACCCCTGGAGAGGATTAATATTCATTTATATTTCAATAAATGGTATAAGGTTTCCCCAAGAGCTGTAGGTTCTGCCTCTGGCCTTGCACAGAAGTACCTCTGTCTTAAAATCCAAGCAGCTAAGCCCCTACATCATGTCTGAGACCTTTCAGCATAGCCTGTGAGGTCCTTCTCTCTCTGTCCTTACAGAGGGAACTTCTTTAGATAGTTACCTTTTTATATTTTTACAGTGTATCTGCTGGATTTGTTTCTGCAAACAGTCCTGTGATGGTATGATTGCCAGTATCTTCCAAAGCACAGCCAAAGAAATGGTTCATGCCCTGTCCTGGCTCTGCCATGTGCAGTGGCTGAAGCACACACCCCAAACATGGAGTACAATCCACTTTGTTTCTCTACTTGAAGAAATATGGACCGTATGCCTTACCAAAGCCCAAAGAGACGCTACAGGCTTTCCTGGGGTTAGTTTGGCATATAAGGGCACAAGGACATCCAACTGAAGTCATTCTATGTTGCATCCAGGACTTAAATGTTCGTTTGGCCACCTGGAG